ATTATTTCCTAGACAAGCATGAAACTTAGATAAAGCAGGGCTTCCTACCGACTGATTACTACCGACTAACATCCATTAAAGTGTGTCATGATAGTGAGCCTCCGACCTTGGTGACAACATTTGAGAATAATCGATAGAATACAGTCAGCACTAGATAGGATGAAGCTGGTTACTTTCCGGTGACCAGTCAATAGGGATATACGAAATGTTATAGCTTTATTTGAGTGTAATTGACTTTAGCATATGATTCTGGCGATTCGACCTTTCCGCTGGCCTTGCACTAATTAGTCTCCATTACACTTGTGCAGTCTGGTATCGTCAATCCAACTACACGGTGCATCATGTAATTCAGCCCTACCAACCGCCTTGTACAACAGAACACAAAGATCCGTACTTATCGTCTACATGTATGTCAGGTGATCTGACTAACTGTATATACATGTAATCAAATTGCCTGACTATAACACATCATAATTTATGAAGATAATATAGTTTCATCAAGCAGAAACTATTGCGTAATGTGCAACAGTGGATAGATTTAACTCAACATGCAATCATTTCCAAATTATATGTTATGCATAGATAGGTGGGAGGTCGATCGAAGGTTCTAATACCTGGCAATACAGTGATGTTGTCAATTAAGTCATAAGTAGTCAAATAACTTTAAAAATAAACAAAATAATACAACCAGTGATACTTTTCCACGATTCACTCTCTCCACTTTTCGGTTGATGATATAACACAATTTCCTTTCGATAACCTTATAATTTGACGGCTTCTCAAGCTTACTTGGCTTGGACAGTTATTAACCTCAAAGTAACCATTATTGTGGTATGGTGAACAATGAACAAGACAAGCTTATTTTATTTCATAGCCTTTTACCAACTGCAAACAGCATACAATTGATGTTAGTTTGTTGGAGACGATCGGCAAGAAGACCTGCACCTAAGTTTTGCGCTTCCTGGCACTCGTCAGCAAGGTGTATATGGAGACTCTACGGTACTGATGTCCTGCCTGGGATTCGAACTCGCGTCACCCAGTGTTGCAGTCAGCGACTCTATCACTGACCTACTCAGGCCGTAACTGACCTCCTGTACGACTGGTTTACATGTATTGATTGGTCATGGAAGTGCAACCAATTTCATGTTGTCTAGTCCTCACTGCACACCGAATCATATAGGTCATACAACTGAAATGAGATATTAGTAATAATAACGGCAAAAAACACTTTAAACATGTAATTAAAATGGGAATTTGAAGCCCGGCATTAAGAGAAAGGTAGTCAGTCAAAAAACCACAGTATTACTAATTACGAATCTTAGTTAAAATCAGTGGTAATTTGTATCTGATAAGATAACAGATTCTGTAGCTATGGAATGCGGGGGAAGAGAGGACAAAAAAAATCAGTGTAAAGGAAGGGACTGTTTCAGAGGTAGTAGACTTGGTTGTAATGGTTCCTCTCAGTTGGGTTGTTTAATCGTGGAGCTCTCATCGTCTCTATACACCAACATCTTCAGCAATAACCTCACTCAATATCAAGTGAACTGTCAATATCTCACCGTCACTAATTTAGTAACTTACCCTGACCAACTGATTCGTCATTGGTTGTTTCCTTTGATTGTTGTGTGATTGACTGAGTGAATAGATTTTCGTGTTGGTTGTTCCTCTGCTTCACCTCTGACTGACCTTTCAGTCATTTATCATTTTTGTTATTGGTTGATAGATTGGATCTACGTCTGTCTGCATACATCTCTCTATTGATTCTTGACTGACTGACTGACATGAATGCCAAACTTCTAGGAGTCCTCTCATCATATTTTTTGTGTTTCCTTCTTCCGCCAAAAATTTCTGCATTGTCAAAATTGGATTCAAATCCGTAGTTGTTATGCACATGGATAGAAATGAGTAATGAAATGTCGTATGTGATGTATGATAGCCAATTCGTGTTCATGTAGACGAAGGTGAAGAGGGCGACCACAAATTGGTCATAATCCTTGATTACAAGAGGAGTTTCGACGAAATTTCCTATCTCATGTAGATTCATTCTGACGTATGCCAAGAATAATACTAGATGGCTTGTTATGTTTACAGTCACAGTTTAAAGTGTTCATGAGTTTGGCATGTACACATATATCATGAGGTTTGATAGATATAGGTCAGTAGTGGACACTTTGAAGTACACATATACACCACTTCCCGACCACTTATCAATTCCTGTGCATCAACCATTCCTATAGAGCACCAGTCATGGACTATACAGTGTAGTCGTCAAGACTCTAACTGCTGTATTCAGTAATACATGGTTGCTTCACCTAAAAAGACTATTTTCCTCATAGTTAAAGGACTCTCTATCAGTTGACTTCTGCGTAATCGATCCAGCATTACACTTACAAACATCTAGTCAATATGAAAAATACTAGCACAAATTGTAGCAGATGTCAGTGAATCCTTTTTCTACAAAAGCACAAATCAATGAGTTTATAAGCCTATTTTAACAAAGAATATTCTTTACGGCAATTTCTTCAGGTTCCACATATTAAGGAATTATGCATCAACAATATTAAGATTCGGTTTATCAATTTGTAAGTGATATTATACACTTGTGGAAGTCAATTGAGAAAAGTTTTGTATGAATGTTAATGATAAAACTGGTTATTACTAGAATTTAGTCCAGTATAAGTGATTATCTGAAGGAGTGAGTGTATACAGCATAGGTAATGCTATAAGGTGGTGGTTTAATAAAACAATGAGAAATTATTTATGAGAACTAGATGAAATAAACTAAGAAGGATAATTTTGGGGAATAATATCTTGATAGAATGTTAGTTATATTGGGGGACAGAAGAGGTGAAGAGAATTTGTTAAAATTATTTCAATTGACAAGGATGAAGGTGTGCCTGTAATATGGAATTAGAAAATTAGATTACTCGGAGTTGAATGTGAATGAATTTGTGCTTCCCGAATCGAGTCATGGTAGTTGTGGTGACAACACTTACTTTTTCTGAACAATTAACTCATGTTGTTTGAGACTGGTTGCCACGGTTTCTGCAGACTGAAGGATTTGGAGATGGGCACCTTTTGGTAAGTTGATAGGAAGGCTGTACAGAATAGAAAACGACTTATTCATATCCACTTTTTGATTCGTTTCAATGAAGTAAGCTATTATGGAGGTGGTAGTGATCTTTTCCACACCTTTAGTGAACCACGTTGGGAGGTGTTCACAAGCACAGAAAATTAATTCCTATAGCAGCGGTCAAGGCAACTGGCTCCACAGTCTAGGTAATTCATCTTTCAGTTCAGGTATCACCTTCGGGTGTGTGGAGAGCATACTTTGTAATTTACCAGCATTGAAAGTTCTCTGCATAGTTTGTGAATTGATCTCTTACTAAGCGCATCGTCTGTGAATTATATCTGAAGGTGTGGTGGTCTTCTGCTAACCATTTTTATAATCAGATGTTCCTTTATGAATTTATCAGGATAGTCATTTCTGATTAGTGGATTGAGCAAAGTCGTCAGTTCCTCCTCAAGTGTATCCTTCAAAGATTCCGTCTATTTTACAAAGTTTCGTTTGTACTGAAGAAGAAATTATCGAGAACAATAGTCTTTGTTCGCTCAAACGGCTTTTGAATTATAATGGGAATATTTCATAACTCAAGTAGATTTTTGTGCAGAAATCATTTGCCAGATTCAGTTGAAATTAGTACTGGACATAAGGAATATGATCTGGGGGATTTAACATACAAAAGGTGATGAAATTCCACTGGAGACACAGAACTCAAAACTGACCCATCCATATTCCCAAATAGAAGTCGACTTCAAGGAGATTTTCTAGTGAACCTGCCAACAAGATAAATTTATATACATACTGCAGTGACATTTGGCACTGATCAACTCGATGCTGCTACTCATCGATGATATTTGTGGGTAAACTTTACACTAAAGCTTAGACAGATCCCCCAACTCATCACTTTATTGCATCAGAAGATTGTCCACTATACTGTTGAACCTCAATAGTCATTTGTTTTTCTAACAGGTTGTAAATTGTGTTCACAGTTTCTCAACACCGTTTAGAATCAACAACATGAGTTTCAAAAATCTTCTAACTACTCAAGGTGATCTAAGTAGCATATTCAGTTATCTCCCTTAAGATCTAATCTCTTGAATGGAGGGAGTCATTGGAAGTAGTTATGCACTTCGCATAATTGATTATTTGTTGAATTTTGAACTCTGCTACAGTAACTTGAAAAGTTGTATTTACTACTTCTGACTTATAAAGGCCACTTCAAATCAAGCTGTTAACATTATGTTCCTATCTCATAATGTCTTCTGACAGCTGCAACCAAATTTACTTCATCATGAAACTCGTCTTGATAACTTTACGTCTTCCTCTTACTGACATCTACTTGAGGTAACCACATCTTCATACTTTCATCAGCTTTCATGATATATTCATACTCTGTATTATGTTGTGTTCTAGGTAAAAGAAGATTCACTTAGTTCAATGATATGCTTTACTGAAAATCAATCAATTTCACAACTGTTAACCAGAAGGCAATGAACACTTGTTTTATACCACTGTGAAAGTTATCAAATCCACCTACGCTACATACTAGCATGAGTTCGAACTCGACCTTGTTAGTTTCCTTAGTGATTGCAATGCCTTGTAAAACAGGCTGAACTGTTTCATTATAATTGTTTTCAAATGATGAAGGAAGTGGTAAAAATCACTCTGTTTAGAATACATTCCCGTTTCATTACATATCTTCATGGTGGATAGACAAGAAATTGCTTGAATAAAAATTGTTCTGGAAATATGTTATTATCATTTATGTGATAAATTACAGTAGAAGTTAACAATAGTAAGTGCTAGAAATGAGATGATCATAATATTTTACGAAAAAAAACTGTTTCTCTTTTATTAATCGATTCATGTTTGTCATGAAAAAAAACAAAAGTACTTGTTATGAAGTCATTATGTTCCGAAGCATCTTCTTCAAACACTAGGAGGTGAACCAACTCCTGGAAAAGAAAACCGACGAATCAGATGAATGGATGGATATATGCTGATTTTAGTTTCAAAGTATACGTCATCAACATAAAAATTAGATTGCTGAATTATATGGTCAATTAGAGAATAATATTACTAAACAGAATACATCACTATTATTGCTTGTATTTGTAGCCACTTCTTGTGCGACGAGTATAGTTTCAAGTGTTATCACTTGTATTATACCATACTTGAATGGACCCAATTGATCGGTCTTTATTGGCATATGGGCTGCTGTGCGGATGCCTCGATACTCTTAGATATTCATCTTGGTGACTAGCAGTGGAATCTAAGACTCATATTTCATCCTGTCTTGAACTTATCAGCTATATGCAACTACAACTTAGGTAAGTAATTTTGTTCCCACTGAAATTGAAACTCAACAATCATCTCTTTGAATGCTAAAGTGTTATTTATAAAGGCAATAGCTCATAATGGCCACCTCTCATGGAAAAAAAGAGCATATATGAAGAAAAAATAACTTACATGATTTGTGAAATTAGACTGATTAGTAAAAAGTAGACAAATGTTTTGAAGTAGAAAATGAAAATGTGTGTTTGAAATAAGGTGACATGTACTAGGGTTAAATAACTTCTGTTCAGAGCTGACATATATATATATATATATATATATATATATATATATATATATATCTACGAAGTGTCAGTAGTATTTATCAACCTAATTCAACAGCTATATGAAAATACCACATGCCAAGTGATCCACAACGGAAGCTCTGTGATGCCCTTGAAGTGAAGACAGGAGTAAGACAAGGCTGCCTACTATCTGTCAAGGATGATCTTCCTGATTGTGGTCGACTTGATCATGCAGCAAACAGTGAGGAGCGCGAAGATGGGCATACACTGGCTGAACAGATGAAAAGACCCCAGAAGAAGATTTGGATTTCCCCGATTATGATTTATGTCTAATGTCTTGTCTCACAAATTCGAAGATCTACAGACGAAAACTAAGAAGTTGACGGAAGAGGCGAGTCAGTGAAGGAAGACGGAGGTGATGAAGATACCCAACCAACAACAAGCACCGAGCACCATCAATGGGAGACACCGAAATGAAGTAGTCCCTTTCACCTACCTAGGTAGGGCAGCATCGTTTCAACTACAGGCGGCACAGGTACAGATGAGGATATCAAAACCACAATCGAAACGACAGCAAGACAGCCCTTCATTAATCTGAGATCAGTGTGGAGATCTTCTGCACTGCACTCAGCACAAAGAACAAGATCTGGATTTTCAACACTAATTCAGTCAAGTCAGTGCTTCTGTACGGCTCAGAGACTTGGCGCGTTACGAAAGGCATTTTTCTCAACAAACTACAGATATTCATCAACAGCTGCCGCCTACGCTGGCTTGATACTGAAGATCAGATGGCCAGAATAATAAGAATAAGCAACAAGGAACACTGGCTGTCTATGAACCAACCAAGAAGCTATCGCTGAACAAATATGCAGTGGAAGGAAGTGGAGATGAGTTTGGGCATGCACTGAGAAGGCTGATTGGGGATATCACGCGCCAGGCTAGGTCCTCGAGTGGAATGAAAAGGGAAAACAACTAGTTGGGTGTCCGAGGCGAGGGTGACATGTAGGAGATCATGTGAGGAAGAAATGAAAAGTTGTTGGCAGTTGTGGCGCTGCAATGGAGGCGTGCTACTGAAGCCCTATGTTCCACTAGGAACCCAAGGGGAAAATAATAATATATATTTATACACGAAACTAATTCTACTTAGACTGTAGAGTTTATCACCATGTACGTCTGTTTAGGCCTACTTTGTATCATTTATATTTCATCAATTCTTCCTCTTAAATTTTGTCTTTTAAACATATTATTAACTCTCGTATATATTTTTAAAATATTTCCAAACTCCAGTTTTTTAAGTTAATGTCGAAAAAAGGAGAAAAATTCTGCATTTCTAACATGCCAACTTAAAAATACATTACCATTTCTAGGATATCTATGTGTAAGTGGAAACTTTTGTATTGGTTAAATGAACAACCATCACGAAAAAGTCGCTCGATTTCTTATTCATTCTACAGTCCAGACCAAATATTAATGTTACACCAATTGTCTGTTCATATCATCGCCTTTAATACTGTCATTAGTGACATTATTCAGACAGAATAACCTTTTTGTATTGAAATGTAATACAAAGTACCCAATGAATTTCATCAGATATCGTTTATCTTTCATCATTGATGCAATAAAAATCTCTTGCAGGTGAGATAAATATGCTTCAGTAGAATTGTAACCTTATTTACACAACCGCATTATTCACTAATTAAAATGTTTAGCTAAGAAAACTGATAGAAAGTAGCCTAAATGGAAATCAACATTTTAAGTCGTCAAATTCCATTGTGTAGTCGGGACACACCTGACTGGACAATTGCATCCAACAGTGAGCCAATGAGAATCAGTTATTCAAATGTTGACCTAGTATTTTTATACGATGATTAAAACTATTGTGTATCAGCGATGCATTTTAGTGTCGAATGAAATGTCTTTCTCAATCATGGGTTAGTCTTCGTCTTTTGATATGTTCTTGTTTCATTGAGGGACAACAATCGCTCTTTCTATCCAATTCATGTGTATCATCGCTTTAATACGATTCACATATTTCTTGTTATATTTCACTAAGTCACTTTAGAAGAACAGTCTCCGCATTCTCGTTACCTTTGTGTTATCTATTGGAGATTTAGCACTCAGATCAAAATGAGTAGAAGTTAATCATTGTGTGATTCAAAATGTGGTGATTAGGTGTATTCCAACTATGCAATCGGACCGTGGTTTCTCATGGAAACCAAGATTTTCGGGGTAAAAATTATGATATGCTGGAAAACAGCAATAATGGCAAGAAATTGAGCAAAGGAACTATGTGATAAGTACTGCAGTGTCATCTCGAAAGCCGGATTGACGTTATGTTAACACAGAGGTATGACTAGGGCTGTTTGTCTAGTGGGTGGTGTTGATCAGTGTGATTAGAGTGTTTCATGTATAATTGTATCTCAGTGAGTAGTTTACACGAGTAGGATTCCTATGAACAGTGTTATATAGCTGGAACTCCTTGTGGTGTGATAGCTCTGAAGGTCACTGAATCAATGTACATATGGAGTGTAGCAACATGCGCCTTACCTTCATGTTTGAATTGAGACAGCTTCAGAATGCTGGTAAAGCCTTTCACTATGTTCTGAGTTTCACTCTTATATAAGTTAAGATATACAACTCATAACCTATTGGACTGTAAATATTAGAAACAGTTCTGAATCAATGCCATTCACTTCAGATATTTATCTCTTTCAAGTTTTTGAAATAAAGAATTTAATTCAATCACATTGCAGTGCTATACAATCTTACCATGCGCTTCTGAACATTTTCCTGAAGTAACAAAGGAGATTTACAACAATGTAAGACATATGGAATAAAATAAACTATACAATAATTTAGCTGTTTGTAAATAAAATTGACCGAAATTTCTTTAACCATCCTTTTGTGATTTACAATGCGCTCTAGTAGCCTAAGCAAATATAAACTGAAACTGCTTTTTACAAAGAAAACCTAATGTCTATTCAATATACTACTAAAAATTGTATGACAGTATTGTTATTCTAATGTAAAAAAGAGAGATAACCTTTTCATTTCAGAAAATATTTTTTTGCGTAAATTATAACTTCAAAGATAAATTCAATGTTGTTATCTTGAAAAGTAGAATATCATATTCGGTGAGGTTAAACTTTCTTCTTAACCAGTTATCCTAGTGTTTCCTAACAACCCAAAAATAGACATCTGTATATGAACACTTTCATATGTGTTTATCAATTCATCTACTCATGTAAAGGGAATTACGTAGGTCGTCTGAAACACATTCTTTTCTAGCCTGACTTCAATGAGGTGCTAACGGATTGCAAATGATTCCCTGTAAAAAGTCATCTACAAAGTGCAAAGAAATCTACCAAAAATGATACACTTCTGACTTCTTTGAACTGCAGAAGCTCTTGCCATGTTCATGAAGAAACTGAAGTTATGTATACAAAAGAACTTCTTCCACATTTGTGGCTTGGTTGTATTGTGTTCTCTCATTAGATTTGTTTAATCGTGGAGCTTTCATCGTCTCTATACACAAACATCTTCAACAATAACCTCACTCAATATCAAGTGAACTGTCAATATCTCAACGTCACTAATCGAGTAACTTACCCTGACCAACTAATTCGTCATTGGTTGTTTCCTTTGATTGTTGTGTGATTGACTGAGTGAATAGATTTTCGTGTTGGTTGTTCCTCTGCTTCACCTCTGACTGACCTTTCAGTTGTTTATCATTTTCGTTATTGGTTGATAGATTGGATCTATATCTGTCTGTATACATCTCTCTATTGATTGTTGACTGACTGACTGACCGACCAACCTGAATGCCAAACTTCTAAGAGTTCTCTGACCACATTCTTCGTGTTTTCTCTGTCCAAGATTGGATTCATTTTCATAGTTGTTATGCACGTGGATTGAAATGAGTGATGAAATGTCGTGTTTGACGTATGATAGCCAATTCGTGTTCATGTAGACGAAGGTAAAGGGGGCGATCACTTTCTCAAATGTAATGTTCACCACAGTTATTGCAGTTGATCTCATAAATGATATTCGGTTTGTCTTCTTTCGTTATCGCATCCTTTGGTCTGCATAACTGTGTTTGGAGGGAATTTGTTGGTTTATGAGTGGCCACACCAATTTCGTCAAGTGGTTTCAGTAATCTTGTTGTGATTTCTGATATACTCCTCATGTACTGATGTAGGATGATGTGTTTATTGATTTCTGTTGATGACTTTATGGTTGATGATGTGCGGGATGGGCATCTTCTGATCACGTTTCGTGGATAGCCGTTCTTCTTAAGGGTGGACATCAAATAATTTTCTTCGTTTCTCTGTGAAGATGTTGTGCTGCAGTGTGTTCTCGCTCTTTTGAATAGATTCTGCATGCAACTAATTTTGTGTGTTGTTGGGTTGTTGCTAGTGTTTTAAAAATGTAGAAATTTGGACGGAAGAAGGAAACACAAAGAATGTGATCAGAGAACTTCTAGAAGTTTGGCATTCAGGTTGGTCGGTCAGTCAGTCAGTCAACAATCAATAGAGAGATGTATACAGACAGATATAGATCCAATCTACCAACCAACAACGAAAATGATAAACAACTGAAAGGTCAGTCAGAGGTGAAGCAGAGGAACAACCAACACGAAAATCTATTCACTCAGTCAATCATACAACAATCAAAGGAAACAACCAATGACGAATTAGTTGGTCAGGGTAAGTTACTCGATTAGTGACGTTGAGATATTGACAGTTCACTTGATATTGAGTGAGGTTATTGTTGAAGATGTTTGTGTATAGAGACGATGAGAGCTCCACGATTAAACAAATCTAATGAGAGAACACATTACAACCCATATATCGATTTCTGTCCCAATCTTCTCATTCATAACTTTGTTTTTTTACAATGATATATTTTAATAAAACAGTATCATCTTAATCTTGTTTAGATGCTACTGTCAGTCACGGTTTAATTCAATAATTCTTGTAACTATCCAATAATAGCTGAACAACAATGTATAAATGGTAAGTGTGTACAGCTATAAAGAATGAAATTGTCGAAAATGATATCTTTACTGAACTTCTCGTTTTCTCAAAGATCATTAGGTGTCTACAACAATGTCAGATAATTTAATAGTGTAATAGTAACTACACCCTTCGTGGGCTAAATGAAGATGGATTTATCAAAAAATCAGAATCAGAATATATGACACATGAAAATCTCCATCTATCTAATATGTTACCTGTATATCCAGTATTGAATTCTATGAAAACTTGTTGATAAATCTGGCAATATTTATAACCGATCAAGAATTCATGTGTTAGTATTTTAATTCCAGCAAGGCAGGCCAGATTGTAAACGAGATGAAGAGGTATCATATTGAAGTGCTTGGAATTCGCGAAAGCAGATGGAATGGGAGTGGACTCTCCAAACTGTCAACTGGAGAATCGATAATCTACTCTGACATCGTCACCCAGAAGACAACCACGAGCACACTGAGTTTTGGAGTGGCTATCATGATGTCCTCAAGAGCATCGAAGGCTCTCATGCAGTGGGAAACAATCTCCCCATGCAGGATCATGACAACAAGATTCAACTCAAAAGGAAGGAAGGTCACAATTATAAAATGCTACACTATGTACCTACATATAATGCAGAGCAAGAGAAAAAGGAGGATTTCTACAGACAACTTCAATCAACACTGGACAAGACCTCAGTTGGCGATATCAAAATTCTGATGGGCGACATGAATGCCAAACTGAGAGGGAACAACACAGGAAGATAACTGACCATGGGTCGAGAGGCGTTCGGTGAGGTGATGAACGAGAATGGAGAATTGTTTGTAGAATTCTGCTGCATTCAACAGTTTGGTGATTGGAGTGAGGGAATGTGTTCAAGCACTAAGGATATCCACAAAGCGAGCGACATGGATTTCACCAGACATCAGGACATACTACACTAAAAATCAGATCGACTTCATCTCAATCTCAATGTGAAGAAGTGGAGACGCAGTCAGCCGACTGGACACAACGTCAAGAAGAGGAGCAGATGTAGGCTCAGACAACTCACTATCTAGTGCAGGGAACCTGCCTTCAAAATCAAGTTGAAAGCCTTCAAGGAAGTTGGTGATAGACCACAGTTCAAGTACAACATCCAGAACAGAAACTGAAGGATGAAACTACAAAAGAAATCTTCACGTCAGCCAGCCATCAAGACAATGATGGGAGATATCGAGCAACATCCTTGAAGAAACCTGTGTGGATGAGCACCAGAACTCTTTGAAAGCAATGTTGAAAGAAACCTGTACAGCCGTATTAGGAAGGAAGAAGAAAGAAGAAGATAAGGGATGGAATGGATCTCGACGGACACATGGAAGATGATCGAGGAGGGAGAGGGGCGTGTTGAAGCAGAAGATGAACCAGTACAGTGCATTGCAGGGATGAACAACGAAAAGAGGAACTGAACATAACCTATAAAACACAAGACTTGACAAAGAAGTGAAGAAGAGTGCACGGAAAGACAAGAGACACTTCCACGACACACTGGCAAGTGGAGCAGAACAGGGTGCATGTAAGAGAGATAGAGACCTGACAACCTTGTATCAGATGACGAGGTTACTGTTATTTGACAAGGAAGAGATCAACATATATGAAACCAATGGAAGATAGTGAAGGAAAGCTAGTTACCAAAGAGGAGAAACGAAGGAAATGATGAGCTGACCACTTCAGAATCTCTCGAATCGACCACCACCATCACCACCACCATCACCACCACCACCTGCACTTCGTCCACAAATACCACCATCATCCCAGCCACAGAACTACAAGTGAATACAGACCCTCCAACAAAAGTCGAAGTCCTGAACACAATAAAACTACTGAAATGCGGCAAAGCAGCAGGACCAGATGGAATCTCACCAGAAGCACTGAGAACAGACGCAGGAACAACAACAACAATAGACATGCTCACACCACACCACTATTTCAGAAGGTGTGGAAGGAAGAGAAGGTACCTGCCGACTGATTGGAAGATGGGCTACCTTGTCAAACTCCCGAAGAACGGCGACCTAAATGTTTGCAATAACTGGTGAGGAATCACGCTCCTGTACACCCAAAGCAAGCAAAATATTAGACCACATCATCCTGGAGAAACTAAGGCGATGCACTTGATTCAAAACTACAAGTGGAACAGGCTGGCTGGCTGGCTGGATTCAGGAAGAACAAATCATGTGCCGACCAAATTGCAACGCTGCACTTCGCATCATCATACAACAGAGTATAGAATGTTAGTCAACTCGATCCTTTACCTCAACTTCATCGACTTTGAGAAGGCCTTTGACAGCGTTGACCGAGAAGTAATTTGGCAGGCAGTCGCTTCAACACTACTGAATACCACAAACCCTTATCAACCTCATTCAACAGTTATATGAAGACGCCACATACCAGGTGAGTAATTCACAATGGGAAGCTCAGTGGTGCTTTTGAAGTGAAGTGAAGACAGGAGTAAAACAGAGCTGCCTACTATGACGTATGATCTTCGTGATTGTGGTGGACTGGAGTGGATCATGGAAGAAACAGTGAGGAGCGATAAGGGGGTGATACACTGGACCGGGGAAAGTGATCCTATAAGATTTGGATATCGCCGCCGATGACCTATGTCTAATGTCGCACAAACTTGAAGATCTACAGGCGAAAACTAATAAGTTGACAGAAGAGGCAGCGAAGACGGGACTTCAGGTGAATATAGAGAAGTCAGAAGTGATGAAGATACCGCATCACCACCAACAACAACAACAAACCCCAGTCACTATCAATGGGAGAAACTTAAAGGAAGTAACCTCCTTCACTTATCTAGGAAGCACTGTTTCAACTACAGGCGACGGCACAGACGAGGATGTCAAAGTCAGAATCGGAAAGACAGTAAGACAGGCGTTGATTAGCCTGAAACCAGTGTGAAGATCTTCTGCACTGCACTCAGCATGTGGAACAAGATGTGGATTTTCAACACCAACATCAGTCAAGTCAGTGCTTCTGTATGATGGTTCAGAGACTTGGCGCGTTACGAAAGGGATTTCCAATAAACTACAGACATTCATCAACAACTGCCTACAATGGCTCGTTACTGAAGATCAGATGGATTGCCAGAAAGAATAAGCAAGAAGGAACCTTGGAAACGAACCAACCAAGAACCTATCACCCAACAAGTATGCAGGAGGAAGTAGAGATGGATTGGGCATACACTGAGAAGGCCGACTGGGGACATCACGTGTCAGGCCAGTTGCTCGAGTGGAATCCCCATGGGAAGTGACGAGTTGGGTGTCCCAGCTGAGGGTGACATGGGGGAGATCGTGCGAGGAGTAAATGAGAGCTTGTGGGCTGTTGTGGAGCCAGGTTGAAAAGATTTCGGCGAACAGAGTTCACTGGAGACGTGCTGCTGAATCCGTATGTTCCATTAGGAACCCAAGGGACTAATAATAATAATAATAAATATGGAACATTGGTTAATGTCAAAGAGAAAAAAGACATCATGATGTTTTTAATAGACGAGAGAAAAAAAGTAGAGCTTACGTGAGAACTGTAAAAAGTTTCCTGAGACACATAAATTGTACAGTGTGCTAGCTAAGTTATAAATTCATTTAAAACAATGAATAAATAAAATATTCAATAGATGATATTTGTGTAGTCATTGCTTTGAGAGTACAATTCACGATTGATGGAGAAGAGTTAGGGTCATAACTTTAAAGCATATAGTAATCTATGTGAATGCAAACACACGCACGCGTGTTATTTACAGCAGAACAGATTAGCAGTTTGTAGACTGACGAGTAACTCAGTACAAGATTTCATTAGTCGACAGATCGAGAATGAATTATTATCATTATTGTTTATTATTTGTGCCTTGGGTTCCTAGTGGAACAGACAGCTTCAGTAACACATCACCATTTCACTCTCTTCTACGCTAGATTTCCAACCTGGATCCAACAATCCCCACAAACTTTCATTCCTTCCTCACATGATCTCCTCCACCTCACCATCGACTCAGACATACAACTCGTCGTTTCCCATTTAGATTCCACTCGACGGCCTGATCTGTCTCGTCTGGCTGATCTAGCCTGACCAGGCCTAACCAGATGCGTGATGTCCCAAAACCATCTACCTTCTCAGTCCACGTCCAATACAATCCAGTCCAATCCAATCCATCCTCACTTCCTTTTGCAGATTTGTTAGACGATGGCTTCTGCGTCGGTTGGTCCGTTGCCAGGCCACCACAGTTCCTCCTTGCTTATTCTCATTATTCCAATATGGTCATCTGATCTGATCTGATCTCATCTGATCTGACCTTCAGTGTGAGTATCGAGTGAGTGTAGGTGGCAGCTGTTCATCATTTAGGTGTGCAGTTTGTTGGAAATGCTTTTTGTGAGGCGCCAACTCTCCCAACCATCACATAGAAGCACTGATTTACTTGACTGATACTGGTGTTGAAAATCGAGATCTTTTTCACGCTTTATGCTGAGTGCTGTGCATTGTTTCTCTTCATTGGTAATTAAATTTCCTTCAACACCTTTCATTGGTTTCATATGTGTTGATCTCTTCCTTGTCAAATAACAGTAACCTCGTCATCTGATACAAGGTTGTCAGGTCTCTATCTCTCTTACATGCACCCTGTTCTGCTCCACTTGCCAGTGTGTCGTGGAAGTGTCTCTTGTCTTTCCGTGCACTCTTCTTCACTTCTTTGTCAAGTCTTGTGTTTTATAGTTATGTTCAGTTCCTCTTTTCGTTGTTCATCCCTGCAATGCACTGTACTGGTTCATCTTCTGCTTCAACACGCCCCTCTCCCTCCTCGATCATCTTCCATGTGTCCGTCGAGATCCATTCCATCCCTTATCTTCTTCTTTCTTCTTCCTTCCTAATACGGCTGTACAGGTTTCTTTCAACATTGCTTTCAAATAGTTCTGGTGCTCATCCACACAGGTTTCTTCAAGGATGTTGCTCGATATCTCCCATTGTCTTGATGGCTGGCTGACGTGAAGATTTCTTTTGTAGTTTCATCCTTCAGTTTCTGTTCTGGATGTTGTACTTGAACTGTGGTCTATCACCAACTTCCTTGAAGGCTTTCAACTTGATTTTGAAGGCAGGTTCCCTGCACTAGATAGTGAGTTGTCTGAGCCTACATCTGCTCCTCTTCTTGACGTTGTGTCCAGTCGGCTGACTGCGTCTCCACTTCACATTGAGATTGAGATGAAGTCGATCTGATTTTTAGTGTAGTATGTCCTGATGTCTGGTGAAATCCATGTCGCTCGCTTTGTGGATATCCTTGTGCTTGAAGATAGTACTATAACAGTCCTCCATATAAGAACTCTAGTTCATAACCAGAGCTCATAAAAATATTACTTTGCATAGTTTAAGTATGAAATGTAGTTACAAGTACGAACATGAACACTGAAAATTGTAATTGATATGAAACGGCCTTAATTGAAATCAACATTTTAAGTCGTCAACCATAAAGTTGATGTTTTCGAATTTCACTTTCCGCTTCAGGAAACATCAGATTGGACGATTCCGTCCCACACCTGACCAATCAGAATAAATTATCCAATAGTTGACCGAGTGGTTTTATGTGATCATGATAACTGTTGCATATCAGTGATGCATTTTAGTGTCGAATCAGTCATAGGTCAGTCTTTGTCTTCTAATATATTCATGATGGATTAAAGTATAATGTGGTGAAGGAGAAGAGTGGCTATTCGCATCTCATCTCATTAATACTATTCACGTATTTCTTGTTATGTTTCACTCAGTCACTTCAATATTACAATACCTTTCATTAGTTCACTCATTTCGATGAACATTGACAAAACATATCTGGTTTAGAGTATATCAGAACAGTAAGCATGTTGTGTATCTTGAAAGCGTTACTCCAGAATGTTTTAAGGACAATAGCACTATTTATTGTCATAAACAACAGTAACCGAAATATAATGAGTATGCAAATAATCAGTCCTGAAATGACGCATTCTACTTTTGACATAAAATATTACTTACTTGATTCCAGAGGGTTTAGATCTTAAAGAACAGAAAATATTCCAATTTCAGAGGTTTAAATACCGTAAAGAACTATACAGATCATCTAAAATTTCTCACTTTCAGGTTGATATTCATCACAGACTGACATCACTTGGATAACTATTGGAAACCTGAGAGCACTGAACAACTTTTACTTCCTAGTATGTGACTCCATAGCACAGCGAACCTATGACTCTGCTCTGCCAGCTATCGAACCTGCGACATTCAGTTTCCATGATCATCACGCTACCACCGAACCAATAAGTTGGAATCCAGTTGTTCAAACTTCCGACTACTGACGGTTTATGTCATAACTCGATCCCTATCCTACGTCGAAGTTGAGATTTTCAGTGTCTCAGTGCACTAAAATCTGTCGTTAAACAATAGTTCTGTAATGTATCGCACAATTTCAACCACTTGATACTGGTAGTTGAAAAATCAAACATCAGTCTCCAAACACTGAAATCAAAGTGTCAGGTTTTTCTTGTGTAAAAGACACTAAATTTTATCAATGATAAAATTATTTTACAGGTAATATTCATCAGGGACCGACATCATTTGGGAAAAACAAAATCCTCATTCATTTCAGAAACACATTACTGTATAGTGCTCATAAGTGAATTACTTCCAGATGGATATCACGAAGCTCTAATGAGAAGCCGTGACCTGTGGGGTCAACCAGTCTGAAATGAAGCGGATGCCAACTAAAGACATTGAGTGGTAGTCATGCTATATCGTCAATTGACGGAAGTTGTAAGTTGTGAACCACTGAGGTCGACACAATGGCTGAATGGTTAACGCCCTCACTGTGAAACCCGAAGGACCTACTTTGGATCTCCAGCAGCGCCTTGAGTGCCTACTGCGGAGGAGTCCCACACTAGTACTGAACAGTTTTCTAGTGCTCAAAGGTTTTCAAAGGTTCCTTGGATGATGTCAGTCACTGGTGAATACTACCCATAAATTAAAAATCACCATTCATCTTAAAAACAAAATCAATATTGTCATTTGTGCCTTGGGTTCCTAGTGGAACAGACAGCTTCAGTAACACATCACCATTTCACTCTCTTCTACGCTAGATTTCCAACCTGGATCCAACAATCCCCACAAACTTTCATTCCTTCCTCACATGATCTCCTCCATCTCACCATCGACTCAGACATACAACTCGTCGTTTCCCATTTAGATTCCACTCGACGGCCTGATCTGTTCTCGTCTGGCCTGATCTAGCCTGACCAGGCCTAACCAGATGCGTGATGTCCCAAAACCATCTACCTTCTCAGTCCACGTCCAATACAATCCAGTCCAATCCAATCCATCCTCACTTCCTTTTGCAGATTTGTTAGACGATGGCTTCTGCGTCGGTTGGCTAGGGATCTTTCTCACGCTTTATGCTAAGCGGAGTGCAGTGCAGCAGATCTCCACACTGATTATTTCAGATTAATGAAGGACTGCCTATCTTGCTGTCTTTCCGGTCATGGGTTTCACTTCCTCATTTATGCCGCCGGCTCCACCTGTATTTGAAAGGATGCTGTATAGGTTGGTAGGTTGGGTAGGTAGGTAGGTAGGTGTGTGGGTAGGTATGTAGGTGGGTAAGTGGGTAGATAGGTAGGTAGGTAGGTAGGTGGAGGCGACAACTTCCTTCAGATTTCTCCCGTCCATGCTGAGTGGTGTTTGTTGTTGTCATCGTTGTTGTTGTTGTTAGTTATTGATTGTTTATCTTCACCACCTCTGTCTTCTCTACGTTCACCTGAAGGAAGTCCTGTCTTTGTTGTCTCCCCTTGCCTTGCCTCGGCTCACCTCACCTCTTCCGTCAACTTGTTAGCTTTCGCCTGTAGATCTTGGAGTTTGTGTGCGACATATGATATGAGACATAAATCCTTATCGGGTAAATTGAAATCTTCTCCTGGGGTCTTTTCATCGATCCAGCAGAGTATATGCCCCTCTCCTCACTCCTCACAGTTCTTTGCATGATCCACTCCATCTCGGTCTAGTCCAGTCCAGTCCAGTTCTGTTCAGTCGACCACAATCATCAAGATGATCGGTGATTGTATGTGGCAACCTCGTCTTACTCCTTCCTGTCTTCACTTACACTCCAAAGTCATCACTGAGCTTTCCATTGTGAATCACTCGGCATGTACCATCATATAGCATAGCGTATGGCTGCTGTTGAATGAGGTTGATGCAGGTTTGTGTCACTAGAAGTGTAGTGTTGAAGCAGCTGCCTGCCAACTTATTTCTCGATAGACGCTATCGAATGCTTTTTCAAAATCAATGAAGTTGAGGTGAAGATTCATTTGACTGTCATTCTATGTTTAGTTTTATGATGATGGATAGTGCAGCGTTGCAATTTGATCTGCACATACTTTGTTCTTGTTAGAGCCAGACATCTAGCCTGTTCCGGTCGTATTTTGAATGCAGAGTATTTTCTAGTTTCTCCAAAATGATATGGCATAACATTTTGCTTGGTGTGGACAGTAGTACTATTCCACACCAGTTCTTGCAATGACTTAGGTCACCCTGCCTTAGGAGTTTGACGAGATATCCTTTCTTCCAGTCAGTTGGCAGGTACTTTCGCTTCCTTCCTTCCTTGCAAACCTTCTGCAGTATTGGTGTGAGCATGTCTGTTGCTGATGTCTCTGTATCTGTTCTCAGTGCTTCTGGAGGAATTCCGTTTGGTCTTGCTGCTTCCTTGAATTTTAGCAACTTTATTGCGTTCAAGACCTCACTTCTGCTTTTGTCGGAGGGTTTGTTTTCACTGATAGTTCTATGGCTGAGCTGCTAGTGGTATTTGTGGACGAAGTGCGGGCGGTGGTGGTGGTGGTGGTCGATTCAAGAGCTTCTTGAAGTGGTCGGCGCATCGTTTCCTTTGTTTCTCTTCTTTGGTAACTAGCTTTCCTTCACTATCTTCCATTGGTTTCATATGTGTTGATCTCTTCCTTGTCAAATAACAGTAACCTCGTCATCTGATACAAGGTTGTCAGGTCTCTATCTCTCTTACATGCACCCTGTTCTGCTCCACTTGCCAGTGTGTCGTGGAAGTGTCTCTTGTCTTTCCGTGCACTCTTCTTCACTTCTTTGTCAAGTCTTGTGTTTTATAGGTTATGTTCAGTTCCTCTTTTCGTTGTTCATCCCTGCAATGCACTGTACTGGTTCATCTTCTGCTTCAACACGCCCCTCTCCCTCCTCGATCATCTTCCATGTGTCCGTCCAGATCCATTCCATCCCTTATCTTCTTCTTTCTTCTTCCTTCCTAATACGGTTTCGCAGGTTTCCTTCCACCTGATAAGTGAACTGGGAATATTACTTTAAGGAGATTATAAAAACAAAAAGGAAGCAAACCTACCAAAATGATTACTGACTGTTAGTATATGGACTCCAGGAGCAAACGCCTTTGTATAGCCAGTAATTTTATTTCGATTCTAAACTATTTACTTACTTCCTGTAAAATTTAGGATTTTTGTAATTTGGATGGAGGCAATCAACAGAAACCATTGTTCTGTCCACCTTTCCTACTTGTTGGCACTCGTCAGTAAGACATATCTTCATCTTTGAAAGAAGTGATGTTTCCTGTGAGATTCTAATCTGCGCGAACCAATGCTACAGTCAGAGACGTTATTAGTGGTGAGTCCAGCCTCCAGATGACATCCTAAGCTACTGGATTGTGTTCATTGATTGGTCACCGGCCCGAAGTCTATCGATCATTTTGCAATGTGGCTACTAAGCTTGGAAGCTCACCACTGCTATGCACTGAGACAAATTTTTATTGAACGGAGGTGATTGGCAACACACTGGATGATGCAGGTTCAAAACTTTCCTGGGATATCAGTCCCTTGAAAGTTGCAGATATGCTTGATGATCTGTGCCAATAAGCATTAAATCTGGGTAAAGCAGGTCTCACCGTTACCACCAATATATATCTCACGAGATGCACCATCAGTTGGACATGATGTTCTTCTCATCATTTCATTAAGTAACTTCATACAAGAGCATACAATGCACGATAATTACCAACCAACAAATTGCACCTTTAGAAGTTGTATTAGTGAACATATACCCACGATACAGTGATGAACACGTCTAACATACACTACGTCTCTATGTAAAGGTGTTTATGTAAGACACTCATCAACAACATAAAAACCACAGGTGATAAAACAAAACTGATGGTGTAGAAAACGGTCATAATGGTAATAATAATAGTAATTCACTCAACATCTTGACCTTCACTGATCGTTATAAAATAAAGCTGATGCATGTTACTTTAGTTTTTCAGTATCTTCAAGTATAGTGTTAAAACTGAGGTCTTTATAAGAAGAATATGACTTACTCCTGATTCTCAGCTTCAACATAATATTTTGGATGACGTTATTAGGAAGAGCTAACAGTCTCCAGAGAGTGTTTAAATTGAATAAAAATAGTATATAGTTACCTAAACAATAAGTACAGTGTATATCGAATTTTATCCAGAAGGAGAGTATGGTTAATCTTTCATTCCCTTAGTGACTATAATTTAATCTCGGTTCATTTTAATTACATAACCCTGTAGAAGTAGTATTCATCATGGACTAGTATCAGCTGAGGTACCGTTAAAAACATTTGGGAGCACTGGACAACTCCTTCATCCTACCAAGGTACTCCTCAGCAGTGCACACTCACGATCCGGCAACGGATCGCACCCAGAACTTTCAGGTTTTATGGTGAATGTATAACCATCCAGCCACTAAGTCAGTCTTCAGCATACTCCTGAAGAGTTCCATACTAAACGAAACAGCTATCAAGTGTTCCTAGGTTTTCAATGGTTCCCTAACTGATATCAGTCCACGATGAATACTACCGCTAAATTAAAATCCCTATTCATCCCAAAAATATATTACGTAACTCTTTGTGTATAATTATTATTCCTACATTTCTTGTCACTCTGTACGATTAATCCTGTTACACGTTCAATGGATTATCAATGATTTTGTTGTGCAACTTAAGATAATTATTGATTTCCTAATTTTGAAGTATCTTATGAGCTAATGACCACTATACTTTTAGATTGTATGCAGCAGCTGAGGAGTATTCGTGATATCAAATGATGATGTCATCACTTTGGCTTGCAAATCTCATCCTTCTGGCCTACTTAATCCACACCATACGTAAATGAAGAAATGTTTGGTTCCAAACTGTTTGTCTAAGACGCATTTGTGTAATCAATAGCAAAACACTACTGAAAAGTCCGACAATAGGACAGTACAAACACGAGTAATAAATAAAGTGTTATGTAATTAAAATGAAATAGGAGTGGAATATTATCACATAGATAGACAGCAGTTGTGATTGCATACGGATCGATTAGTGTTGACGCTAACTAATCTGTAGCATTGAGCACTTGTCTCTTTCGATGATGCTTCAGTTCATATGAGCTGTTCAACTGCTCAGCATTAACATATCATCAACATAATGTGACCTATGGATGACAAAAGCAACTGGATAATGAATTTAAACAATGCTGGAGAGCACTATTAAAAGCTTTTATTCAACAGAGTTACAGTTCATGGTGGATCGTGGCTAGCAGTGGAATCCAGGATGCACATTTCGTCCTATTTCGGAATCGTCAGCTGGATGTATCTGCTTTCCAGTCAGTGACGTTGTTCCCACCGGGATAACGCTCTGGCATTTGGAGCGATCGCTCCCAAGTCCGAATCCCGGTGGGAACAATATCACTGCTCACTGGGAAGCAGGTACATCCAGCTGATGAGTCCGAAATAGGACGAAATGTGCTTCCTGGATTCCACAATCCATCATTAAAGTAATTAGAACACAGGTGATATTGAGGCACCCGCACAGGAGCTCATATGCCAATAGAGACCAATCAATTCGGTGCAAGAAACGAAGGTATGATATAAAAACAATTATACTAGAGTTACAGTTCACATTACTAAATAATGATAATCTTTTCATAAATATTCCTGTTGCCAAGATCATTCATGTTCATCTTTCATGTGAATGCTACTTCGGATGTATCATGTTTCTGTGTGTAGAACGTTCATTAGGTGACAGTCTGCACTTTCTACCTTCTCCGAAGAAATTGTGCCGTTTACTACTTAAATACATTCTTATCAGTAGCATACAGCTACCACAAGTGTGTATCCTATTATAACAGCTATCAAGTTTGGTGTTGTAATAGGTTTCAAGAATATTTAACGATCAAGAGAGATGTTTACTCAAAGGAACACATTTGAAGTAAATTGACTGCAGTTTAATCAATATGTTAACACTACTTACTGTTTTCTCCCTCAGCTTTATTGAAATTATGAACAGAATGTGTGATTGGACAAAATCAGTTTGGTGTAATTATATGGAGGAAATGTTGATAACTTCGTACTACTTCGGTCATTACAGAAAACATATGTTTCAACCATTTTTTTTATCATGTAATAGACTATTCACTCTGATCAGCTTTGAATTGTAGCTTATCTTCAAAGCGAATCATTTAGAAAACCGAGTATGATTTTTAGATGCAGTTTGATGTTGATAACGTAACTGCTTCACTCCTCTGTAAGACATTTTCAAGTGAGTGGTAACACTACAGGTCTGAAAAGGTGAATTAGCGTGTTCTCGACAACCCTTAGGAGAGCCTGTAATATGTAGTTAGTTATACAAGAGAGTTTTTACTCCAGTTTGTGGCTCAGCTTCAAGTTTCAACCAGGATCTCGTCTTCATCTATATTCGCTGGGTAATCCGGTCATCGGACTGTACGCACCTGGTCGTGAGCAGATTTGCATGAGAGACGTCTCAGTGAATTTCCACAATCTTGGAGAACAGATGTAGCTCTCTTATCATAATGAATCAAATTGCCAGTCTACTTATGCAGCCAAAGCTACGGTAAACTAAACCCAACATTCCAAATTAAATACCGTGCACCTTCACAAGGTAAAATCACATCCTCTCAAAAACTGTGCCTCATCATCATCAACATAGGACCAGGCATTACTGCGTGACGGTCCGAGTTGCCACACCTCATATCAATACATCATGTAAAAAGACAGTGAAGTGGAAGATGAAGATAAGAAAATTCAGTCAAAAGGAATAAATATAGAGTAATAAAAGAGAGAAAGGAAGAATGAGAAAATGGTGAGATTATGTATGGCGTCGTTAAGATGATGATTATGTGTGTATACGTCTACGCCACTGACTTAGATTCCGAGCCATATCACCTACAGTCTCCAACCACTGGTTTCTCTTGTCCCGTGGACCCCAGTTGGCTAGTCTACATCGTCCCACATGATTCAAACCAACAGCCAAATACTTCATACATTGATGCCATGTTTTAGTCTGGCCGCCTAGAGACTTTTTCCAGCCTGAACCTACTTCAGCCAACATTGTGTGATGAGGCAGACTACAACTAGGCATACGTAACACATGTTCCAACCATTTCAGTTGATGAAAGTTCACAACCTCATCAACTGACTTACCTCTTCTCCCTAAAACCATACACCTAACTTCTGCGTTACTCACGTAGCGACACCACGGAATACGGCCTATACTACGAAGGCAACGGTGGTCAAACACTTGAAGCCTTCTCATGTCTTCCACCTTCAATGGCCTATAGTAGAACAGAGAGTGGACTGCTGTCCAGATGCAGTACACGCGACCCTTAATAGACCATCGGATATCATGGCTGCACCATAGGTGGCGTAAATTGGAGAAAGCCAATCGAGCATTTGTATTCATGCAGAGATTTCATTGGCCACTGAGCTAGCTACCAGGGCTGATCCTACTTCCCAGGCAAGTGAGGTGGTGGACCCACTCAATCTCTACACTCTCTACTGTTAGCCTAGGCACTGTTGAAGACAAGTCCTGCAGCGACAATTTGCATTTGGGTGGTGAGAACTGCATCCTAAACATTCTTAAATTCCCACTCAAAGTGTTCAGAAGACTCTGCATCTTGTCAATGTCTTCACCTAACAGGCCTATGTCATCTGCATATTCTAGATCTAGTGAAAATTCTCCTGCCATTAGGTCAACCTCCATGTAGTCACGCGATGAGAGAGAGATCTCCATAAGAATATCTATGGTAAAATTGAATGAGAATGGATAGAGTGGGCACCCATGACGGGTACCACTCGACGAGTAAAGGTCCCTGGATATCTCACTATAGTCTCTAACACGCCCACAAGTGTTGGAGTAGACAGCCTTCAACAGAGTGATGCACTAACTTGGTACGCCTTTCAGTAAGAAACATAGCCATAAAGCTTCTCGATCAACGAAGTCAAATGCCGACTTCAGGTCGAGAAATACAGCTATTTTTGGGCGTCGGTAAGCGTGTCCGTGTTCCAGAAAGGGTCACAGTGTGAATATTTGGTCGATACACATGCGGCGTGTTCTAAAGCCTGCCTGGTTTTCTCGGGCTTGCTGTTCCCGAGCTCCACTCAGGCATCGAAAAATTATGGAAACTAGACTCTTAGGCATTATGTGCATCAGACTGATTCCTCTGTGGTTGTCACAAGTGGACTTCTCGCCTTTCTTAAAGACTAGGATAGTCAGTGATTTAGACCAGTTAGAGGGGATCGTATTTGATTCCCATATACTGGTTAACACTTCCGCCAACCTGACTAAGCACACCTTACCATTATCCTTGTATAACTCAGGAGTTAGTCCGTCCGGTCCTAATGCTCTTCCTCGTTTCAATTTGCCTACTGCTTTCTCGACTTCTGCAAATGTTCGGGGGTCTATCTCAATGTTCCATTCAGGATTTGATTGGATAGTAGGGGTTGTAATGGCAGCTGTAGGCCAGTTAAACTGCTACTCGAAGTATTCCACCCATCGTTCCAGTCGTCTCTCCTGCGAATGAATCGCAGATCTGTCCTTCTCCGCTATAGCCTCACTAACCGCTGTTGATCTTTTCCTCCCAGTCACCTTGATAAGTCTAAAGAACTGTCTACTGATATCAATCCCCGCTACCTTTCCATCGCTTTAGCCTTCATTGCCAACCACTGTTTGTGGTCGTTGCGTAGACTTTTTCTCAGTCTACTTTTAAGTTGCGCTCGCTCTTCGTTATGCTCAGAGGCTGCAGGTATGCGTTCACCTGCATTCCTTAGTTTGGAGGAAGCTGCTGATATCCACTGGCGCTTTTCAGCCACTCTTTCGGAGTCGACTACGGTCTTCAGCGCTACTTTTACAGCAGACCAAAGATGACACCAAGCTTCTTCTGGATGAGTGATAGTGTTCTGTTCCGATAACTGCCTAACCAACTTCTCACTGAAAGCGGTTTTGGTGCTTTCGTTGTCAAGCTGCATTCGTAATGGTTTTGTAGCCAAATGTTTCTTACGTCCATTGAGATGCAGGCATATACGCTCCAGGACTAAAAAGTGGTCGCTATCGAAACACGCACTACTCAAGCAGCGGTAGTCTTCAACCAATCCTCCCCACCCATGAATTATACCACTGTGGTCTATCTGTGTCCATCGCTGATTTGAGCTCGGTGGATGCCACGTCAGGCAGTGTCTTTCTTTATGTCTGAAATTTGTGCTCCTTAAAAATAGGCGGTTATCCCAGTACACTTGTAGTAGGCGATCACCTTTATTTGTTCGCTCAGCCAAGAATCTGAAAGTGCCCCTTAAGCGCACTTCTACCTCACTCAGTCTACCCACCAGTGCATTGAAATCACCTGCAACAACCACCACATCTCAGAGCCTTTGGCTTTCGACAGGAGGCTAGACAGTTTCTGGTAGAACTCGTCATTCACTTCATCCGAACTACGGTCAGTGGGTGCGTAAGCAGAGATTACAAAGAGACAACGGAGAGTTTAACTATTCCTCTAAGTTTTTTCTCACTGTGCCATTCAGTCGGATAGCGCACAGACGACTATCAACTGGGATCCAGTCTAGTAATGAGTTTTCTACCCTAGTGACTAATGCTATGCCTACACCTGCAAGACCACGACAGCTAGCTGTCGAGTCTCCAGAAACTGGAAGGGTGAATTTCGTGGATTCAACAGATTGGATGTTGAAGTTCAGGTGAATAACTGCACTTGGGTCCTGTGTGCGTGACTCAGAAACACAGCACACACACACACACATACACATGGGTCGAGTTGATACAGTTTTTGCCAACGAAGCCTGTTGACCAATTTGACGCAGAGCGCGGACATTGAAGGCACTGATGTGTATTTCGGAGCGTAGTTAAAGGAGACCAGAGATGTTGTACAGTGGATTCAGACAGTTGTCGAAGGCTGGATAGCTAAGAGAAATTGAAGATGATGTAGCACTGTTAGTTGAGAGACGTGAAGGAATATTAGAAGGTAATGATGGTGGAGGTGGATAGCAGTCTGAGGAAACTTGAGTGTTGATCGAGTTGTGAGGGTGGTTGACACCTCCCGGCTCCCCACACCATGGAAGGCTATTTTTTATTAAGGTACCTTGAAGAGATTTGTGTGATTGCAGAGCCCATCGGACATCTGCTTGAGGTCTGTCACACGCAGTCTTTTGTGTATGATCATTTTGAACTTTTGTTGTTTTGTGGTCGACGTCTTCTAACCCCTTCCACTGAGAAGAAAGCATCACCATGACGTTGCTGGTCATCCAAGGGAAACACCTTACTGCTGTCACACCCCATCCAGCTACTAGCAGTACGACTTCGCCCTCACACCCCATCATAGTGTAGTAATTTACACCACAACGGTGACTGCCTTTCGTCTTACCATTGTCCAACAGACGTTTCTGGTATGGAAGGACCTGAAGCGAACAAGTGTTTTACCAGCATAGGTCGTTGGGTCATTGTGGTATGCAAGCCTGACGACTACGTCAAGGTAGCAGCTGTCGGTCAGAAAAACTGTGGCTAGTGGAATTAGGAAGCTGGATTCCCTTAGTATTCCATTGCAATGCTCCCAGCACACAGTACGGAAACCTGATGGTGGACTAGTCTATCTGTGATTTAGAGATCCACGACACTGATCTCTGCAAGTGGATCTCGTCGACCGCGTTGACCGCTTAGTTAGCTTGAACAGTCTATTCTTTGATATCCAACGGGGCCACGAGGAGGCCTGCCGTCATTGTGTATTTAGGCTCGACCCGTAATCACTGGCGCGCAAACCTTCTCGGTTTTCTGTACCAGATGTACAAACACCCATGCCAGTCAACCGTGCTGTATAAGGCTTCTTCAGGTTGATGCCCTGGCACGTAACTGTGATGGAGGCATCTAGCTATGCGGGAGGCATCATAGTTACTCCCGCCTCACCTGTCATTCATCTAGCGGACAGAAATTGCTGACTGCGAATTGCGTGTGAATATTATCACTTGAATCCAGTTATGTACGAAGGCTAATAATTTCGGAAGCACATATAACAGTAGTAATAACCAGAAGGAATTAACCAGAGGGTATATTTTCACCATACTGACCACCTGAAGGTAGTTGGTGCAATTTGTATATGTCTCTTGTCAATAGAGTTACATTAGCCACCATTAAAAGATGGCTAAATGATATGTCAGTTGTTACATCTCTCTAAAAGTATAACTGGCGCTGTGAGGTTCAGTGAGTGCAGCCAGTACGATGGAGTATATAATTAGCGACTAATGATCTAAGTTCTTTTATTGGTCAGCGAAAATCCTCTTAGACGTTTAGCATCTCTGTGTTAAGGAAGTATTTATCACGGAATAACAACATTTGGACAACCAGTGGAAACCTGCGAGCACTAGAAAGCTGTGTTGTCTTAGTACAGAACTCCTCAGTAATCCCTAACCATGGTGCGGCCAGGGATCTAAGCTGGAGCCTTCAGGTTTCACGCCCATCATGTTGCTAGTGTGCCATCGATGAGTAAGTTTCATCACGTTCGGCATGGTTTACTCCATCGGTCACGAAATCCCACTAGGGCGTCGGGAAATCTCATTACGAAGTAAGTTACTAATAAACGCTAGACAATAATTCAATTTGAAGGTTCAGGTAGACTTATTTATTGACTTCAAGTTGGTCACCGTCTTCAAATCAATCATCAAATCCTCACAAACCCTCCAGTCAAACAACATTTTACTGAACTCAAGTGCAGCGCATACGAAACTTTACTCACTCACGCTAGATTGCTACACGTCTTTGTTGCCAAGCTATAAAGTTTGCCAGTTATCTATTATCACTCCATATAAGTATATCCTGTATCATTCTGCTGTACACTCTCAGCAAAATGTTAGGCTACATCATCCTCAAGCGTCTAAAACATACACCGGATACAAACATATCACCGAAACATGTTAGGTGGCCTCAGGAAGAACAAATCATGTCAGATCAAACTGAAACGCCACGCATCATCATCGACTTTGAAAAGGTATTCGACAGCGTCGGCCGAGAAGTAAATTGGCACACAGTTGCTTCAACACTATGCTTTTAGTGACACAAACCTCCATCAACCTCATTCAACAGCAGCCATACGCTATGCAACATGATGCTATATGCCGAGTGATTCACAATGGAAAGCTCGGTGATGCCTTTGGAGTGCAAGTGAAGACAGGGAGGAGTAATACAAGGTTGCCGTCTACTATCACCAATCATCTTGGTGATTGTGGTCGACTGGACTGGACTGGACCGGACTGGACTGGATCATGCAAGAAACTGTAACGAGAGAGGAGAGGAGAGGAGAGGGGAGGCAACGAAGACAGGACTTCCTTCAGGTGAACGTAGAGAAGACAGAGGTGATGAAGATACCCAAATAATAATTGACGACAACAACAAACACCAGTCAGCATGAACAGGAGAAATCTAAGGGAAGTTAACGCCCCCACCTACTCACCTACCCACCTACCTACACACCTACCTACACACTTACCTACACACCTAACCACCAAACTAACTTGACAGCGTCGTTCCAACTACAGGTGGCCCCAGGGGCACAAATGAGGATGTCAAAGTCACGATTGGAAGGCAACAAGACAGGCAGTCCTTCATTATTCTGAAATAATCAGTGTGGAGATCTACTGCACTGTACTGTACTGCACTGCACTGCACCCACTCAGCATAAAGCATGAACAAATTCCCGATTTTCAACACCAATGTCAGTCAAGTAACTCAGTGCCTCGATGTGATGGTTGAGAGAGTTGGCGTGTCACGAAAAGCATTTCCAACAAACTGCACACCTACATGATGAACAACTGCCACCTACACTCACTCGATACTCACACTGAATACTAGAGGTCATCGCCCTACAAATCTGCAGAAGGAAGTGTAGATGGATTGCACTGGATTGGATTTGACATACGATGAGAAGGAAGATGGCTTTGGCACATCACGCACTTGGCAAGGCCTTGTCAGGCTAGATCAAAGAGACCAGGCCATCGAGTGGAATCTAAATGGGAAAAGATGAGTTGTATGTCAGAGTAGAGGTGGAGATGAAGGGGGTTCATGTGAAGAAGGAATGAAAGATTGTGGGGATTGGTGGATCCAGGCTAGAAAGAATGGGCAGAAAAGAGTGAAAACGTGACGTGATACTGAAGCCGTACGTTCTACTACGAACCCAAGGGACAAATAAGAGTAACATCCTGTGTACTAGCTGGGTCGTTGACTCACGTTTTTCGCCTCCTCTTCTCCATTCCAGATCTTTGCGTTTATCGCTAAATTCTACGCACCTCTTGCAACAACGCGCATAGCTACCTACCTACATACAGTCCAGAAGAAAATGTGTCAGCAGTTGGTTACTTTCGAAGTAGTCTTAGATGAAAGTTGTTTTACAAAGTGATAATTATTGAAAATACTAGATTCACTCAAAGCCTGTTCACATAGTACTTACATGGTTCATCTAATATTTTAAATTAGGACAAATGTTGTTGAAACTTGTTATTCACTAACCATGAAGAAAGTGAAACAGTAAAGTATCTGACGGTGTTGTGATGGGACTGGGTAAGTTATGTACACACGCATCGAAATACGAAGAAATAACATTTTCAGTGGATTTAGGATAGATGAGAAGAATTTATCCTGCTAGTTATACAAGTTGTACACGCCGTTATTTAGTATGTATTACCCCCATGAAGTTCTTGTTCACAAGAAGCACTTCTTTGATTGAACAACTGGAGTTCAGTCGAAAAAATACTGAAAACATATGGAGTCGTCTTGGAAAGTTTCTGAGATCTTTAACAGGATCACAAACAGATATGATATGGCTCATATGGATGAATGGCAATACAGGAAACGGTATGGTTTCAAAGATGATAAACTTATTGGATATAATAGCTATCTTTATTTCTCATGTGAAAGAGAATTATAAATTGTAAATTAATATACCATTTTCGTTATTAATTACGTTGTCCTTCATATTCTTGATTCTGATTGGTCAATGCTAACATGAAAGTGATTGGCCGTCACAGAAGCTTAATTCTACCAGTTCACATCATTTGACAAAGCTACTGCTTTACTTGTAGTATTTTATATTTAAATACTGAGCTGATAGTCACTCAGAGGTACATTAAGATAGATTCTATATGTCTTCACACACACACCTAGTTACTACAATACCCAACAATTATGAGTTATGTAACGTTATGTTAGTCAATGTCGCTTTTTAAAGATATAATAAGATTGATTATTTATTCAATAATTTATCAGCTATTGAAAGGAATTTTAGTGTTTCTACACGCATCTGTAATAACTAATGAGAAGTTTCATCTATAATTATGCAATAATACGTCAGTTTTTGTATATTAGATAAAGTTTCACTGGAAAATTTCTTAAACAAACTATATACTTTGTCAGATTTTGGCAGTCATTTGATTGGAAGCTCTGCTAGTTGGTTGGAGGCAATTGGCAGGAAGCCCTGGAACTAGATATCCTGCTTTTCGACACTCGTCAGTAAGGCGTATATGCCACTTTGACGGAATTGATGTCCCACATGAGATCGGAACCCGCGTAACTCAGTGTTGTAGTCAGCCAGTTTACCACTGAAATATACGTGCCTACTCTGACATCATGTAGGATTAAACAGCATGAAAAATGTTCCAATCCCGCGACCAATCAATGCACGGCTAGAAGGAATATCCAACGTAGGTTTCCACTCTATTGGCATTCAAGAGCAAGACGTATCAATGACTATGCAGATTCTTTTGTTACATCGATGTTTCATACATATTATCATGCAATGCTTAGCTAATGGTGACATGATAGATCTCCTGTGTAACTGGATTAGATACTCAAATCGAATCAAAGTGGCCAACCGACTTAGCTGTTTAATGTTTGGTGTTCAGCAGTTATCCATACACTTCAGACAGTGTTGAACACTAAGTACTTCCTAACTGCAACTGCAACTGTGACTGACTGACTGACTGACTGACCAACAGACTAAAAAATCCATTCAACAGTAAGCATTTCAATGATTTAACATGTGGAAATTGTATCCCTGTTCATTGGACAACTCTGCTTATGTAATCATCACAGACTCTTAGATGTATTCGATACCATCTTTTAGGACAGCCTTCAAGAGTTTGGAATTCCTAACTGTCTTGTGATAGAGTAGGAAGAAACGTTGGTATAATGATCACAAGATCTTCTACATAGTCGTAGTGTTTACACATGAAAATACTCACTCTTCAGGATATTTTCGAATGTCAATTCATTTCTAACCATATGATAATACCTAGTTTCGAAGATCTTGATTCCTGAAATGTTATTCAAACGATTTAACTCAAAGTGATAGGGAATGGTTAAGCAGTGAAATCCAGGATGCGCGTTTCGTCTAATTTAAGACTCATCAACCGGATAAACCCACCTCCTAGTGAACAATGGTGTTCCCACTAGGACTTAGATGCCAGAGCTTAATCCACTATACCATAAAGTCATGACGGCCACTTATTGTGTGATAGGATAATGATGACCTAATGGTGAACATGTTGTCAACTATTTCTGAGAATACAAATGCCACTTTGTATAATCAACTGCAGAGAAAACAGTAACAGATAGTTGCAATGGTGAGTTCAAAAATCAGTTTCTTAAACATTAACTATTAAACATTGATCACATACCTTGAGCTGAAATGAAAAGTGTGAGAAGGCATAGTAACACAAGAATATTCAAACGAGTCATCGTTAGTAGAGAGAACTTTGTGTTGTTTCTGGGCTTTAGTACACATCTGAATATATATGACATTGCAGGCAGATACACATACACACACACACACACACATAGACCTACCCAACAGATAAACACTTGAAGTGGTTTTATGAATTATATGAGTGAAGTGGGTGTACTTGATTTTCTGATTAAGACTTCGGTTAGGTACCGTCAACCACTTTATCCCTCTTAGAAATCAGACTCTTCATCGAGTGCTACTAATTTCCACGACGGAATAATAGAAGGATACAGTAGTTAATTTACTCATTAAGATTACTATCTCAATGGGGAAGCCTATATTGTAGTGGTGTCATTTAGCAATGTAGTTCTCTAACGCCTACTCAACCTAACTGAGACTGTTGTAGTGAGACAGACTAAATTTAAACTTTGCATTCAGCAAGATCATGTTCAAACTCTATTCCCCCCTTGACCCTCAGTCAACTAAAGGCAGCTCCCGTGTTGCTTACTCGTTAACAGGTTGACGCCTCTATCATTCGTCAGTTATTGTTTATTCAGCATATATATTGAAAATTCTATTGCTCAAGTTCCTGAGGAAACGTGATATCAGTTTGACTATGTAAGATGGCCGTAGTTTGGAGGACTGGCATTATTGATGCTGAGTGATAACTGAAGATGAAATGGAAATTCGTATTTGAACTACTGACCTTGGGGTTTCAGGCCTGGTACTTTACCAACTGAACTGAGATACTCAGCATCAACTAACTCCACAACGTTGAGATGTGGTTTATATAGTTCTAATTTTCTCACCTTCTTTACGAAACAGGTAGCAAGACTTTCCAGAAAAGTCTCTGAGTTATTTCTATTGTATATATTAGGCGTTTGGTAGTAGATCTCCCTCCATCCCATTAGATTATTTTTAAGGTATTTCACTTTGTCACATCCCACTAAATGGTTGTGTGCAGTTGCATGCATAGCTATGACCGAGCTTATTTTCTGAATTCATTGCTTTACTAGGATCTACGGATTTTGATTTAGGTAGGTGTCGGTACTCTGCTTCAATAGGCTTAACTTCGCCACTAGATTTTTTGACCTATATATTTGAGCCTGAAATCATTGAAAACGTTTATTTCAGCCAAATTATTCCGCTTAATTGGATCACCAGAACCTCTTAACCTACAGAGCTTATTTCTGGTTCATAGTCGCAGTATTATTATTGTCAGTCATTCCTTGTGTTTCAAGTAGAACATACTGCTTCAGTAGCACATCTCCATTTCAATCTCTTCTATTCAGTCTATGCAACCTGACTCCACCAATCTCCATATTTTTTCATTCCTTCCTAACATGATCTTCTCCTTCTCACCCTCATTTCAGACACTTAACTAGTCGTTTCCCATTTAGATTCCACTCGACGGCCTGGTCTGGCCCGACGGGTGACGTCCCAAAACCATCTTCCTTCTCATCCCATGTCATATCCAATCCAGTGCAATCCATCTACACTTCCTTCTGCAGATTTGTAGGGCGATGACCTCTAGTTTTCAGTGTGAGTATCGAGTGAGTGTAGGTGGCAGTTGTTCATCATGTAGGTGTGCAGTTTGTTGGAAATGCTTTTCATGACACGCCAACTCTCCCAACCATCACATGAGGCACTGAGTTACTTGACTGACATTGGTGTTGAAAATCGGGAACTTGTTCATGCTTTATGCTGAGTGGGTGCAGTGCAGTGCAGTACAGTACAGTGCAGTAGATCTCCACACTGATTATTTCAGAATAATGAAGGACTGCCTGTCTTGTTGCCCTTCCAATCGTGACTTTGACATCCTCATTTGTGCCCCTGGGGCCACCTGTAGTTGGAACGACGCTGTCTAGTTAGTTTGGTGGTTAGGTGTGTAGGTAAGTGTGTAGGTAGGTGTGTGGGTAGGTGGGTAGGTGAGTAGGTGGAGGCGTTAACTTCCCTTAGATTTCTCCTGTTCATGCTGACTGGTGTTTGTTGTTGTCGTCAATTATTATTTGGGTATCTTCATCACCTCTGTCTTCTCTACGTTCACCTGAAGGAAGTCCTGTCTTCGTTGCCTCCCCTCCCCTCTCCTCTCCTCTCCTCTCCTCTCCTCTCCTCTCCTCTCCTCTCCTCTCCTCTCCTCTCCTCTCCTCTCCTCTCCTCTCCTCTCCTCTCCTCTCCTCTCCTCTCCTCTCTCGTTACAGTTTCTTGCATGATCCAGTCCAGTCCAGTCGACCACAATCACCAAGATGATTGGTGATAGTAGACGACAACCTTGTCTTACTCCTTCCTGTCTTCACTTACACTCCAAAGGCATCACTGAGCTTTCCATTGTGAATCACTCGGCACATGGCATCATGTTGCATAGCGTATGGCTGCTGTTGAATGAGGTTGATGGAGGTTTGTGTCATTGAAAGCATAGTGTTGAAGCAACTGTGTGCCAATTTACTTCTCGACCGACGCTATCGAATGCCTTTTTCAAAAGCGATGAATTTGAAGTAAAATTCAGTAGACTGCCATTCTGTGCTCATTTCTATGATGATGCGTTGCTTTGCATGTTTTTTGGTAACAATCATAAGGCTGACAGTAATGTAAAAGGAGAATTCGATACCTCCGCATAATTACCGTTTAAGGAAGATACCTCGAAGAGACTAGGTAGGTTTTTGAAGAAGCCTGGCATTAGAGTGTCATTTAATGAGGCAAAGTCACTTAGAAATCATATATGTATTGATGGACATAGCCTTCACAGGGATTGACTTACTTATTGGAGGTCATCTTATTAACTTGAAACGTGCAGACGATATTGTCCTATTAGGTGAGGATGCTGAAGAAATGCAGGATCTTCTGAACGCATTCGGCAGAAATCTGTGTATGCTTGGCATACATGTTTTAATGTGTTGACCACCTCACTTACTTGGGACGTTGCACCAGACAGAACGGCCTGGATACTGAAAAAATTCAGCTTAGATACAGAAAGCACATAATGCATTAGCCAACTTACATCATTTGTTGCGTCTGCGAGATATCCAACTATCTATGAAAGGTCAAGTATACTGAACTACAGTCCATTCTGTCCTGTTGTACGGCTGTGAGACATGGCCGTTGAAAGTAGAAGATGTGAAGGAGTTATATGGTTTTGATCATAGGTATCTTTTCAGCATTACTCAGGTTTGGTGGAATCACCGTGTGCAAAACAGCCAAGTCTACTTAAGAGGTTATGAACCTTATTTGATCGAGGTGGCTTGGACATGTACTGGGCATACCAAGCCACCACCCACCTCGACGTAGCATGCTAACGAGAAATGGAATGGGATTGAAGAGGGTTCACGGTGGCCAGACCAACACCATGAAACTGACTTTTGGGTTAAGCCGTGTGGGGAGATGCGAACTGTCTGGTTATGGTCCCGGAGACGAAAGGAATCATTGGTTAAAGACATGGTGTCCTGGCTGAAAATCGGTCACAGTATTGGAGATGTATTCACTCCTTGGTGTTTTCTCAAGCTTGAATATTCATACTTACCTTTATCTTCAAACTGTTTAATCTCTCACACGACTTTGTGTACTTTGATATCAGTTTTTTTCTACCTATCTGTTCTTTATATACTCCTATGTAGTGTGGCAGTTTGAGCTAATACACTCCTGTCAAAGGTCCTACGTCGATTTTGTCAGTCAGTCATTCAGTCACTTACTTAGAAATAAACTTTTTAGGTTAAAAGATCTTACTGATCCAATTGGGAAGAATAATTTAGCCTAGCAAAACATCTGCAGTGATTGCCAAGTCAAATGTATAAATCATAGTAGTTGACCAAGGTGCATAAAGTTATTAAATTAATATTACTTATTATTTGTCCCTTAGGTTCCTAGTGGAACATAGGGCTTCATTAGCACGTCTCCTCATCTGTGCCGCCTTTGGTTGAAACAGTGTTGCCTAGATAAGTGAAAGAGGCTACGTCCTTTAAGTTTCTCCCGTTGATAGGGATTGGAGCTTGTTGTTGTTGTTGTTGTTGGGTACCTTCATCACCTCTGTCTTCTCTTGAAACCCTGTCTTCGCTGCCCTGCCTATTCTGCCAATTTGTTAGTTTTTGCCTGTAGATCTTCAAGTTTGTGTGACATTAGACCTAAGTCATCGGCTGCGAAATCAAAATCTTCTAGGATCTTTTCCTCGGTCCAAATAAAATGAGGAATACAGAAAAAAGTTCAACTCAAGTTATGCATGCGAAAGCCTACAATCACACAACAGAATAAGTCACAATAATAGTATTGTAAGCTAACTTAGGGGGTTAGAGGAAGAGATGGCTAACCGAATCCACATTTGTCGAATTAATTCTAAATATATGTGCCGTAGGAATGATTCAGTCACTATTTCACATGCATAGATAATTCTATTACCTGTATCTCTAAGAAAAACAGATAATGAGGACCTCGAACACAAATGAAAACCTGATCAGCAGTCGAACCTGGTAGTTCAGTTGGTGTTCGCTAATCTGAAGTCTACCGAGGTACAAATTCTCATTCCACCTTCAATCACCACTCTATATCAATACTAGTCTGCCAAACTATGGTTATCCAACTAAGATAGTCAAAATTCTAATCAATATGATATTCCCCGTCTATAATTCAGTTGTATTTGAATTGGGTTAAGAAGTCCTTACTAAGCAGCAGCCAGTATGAATACGATCAAGCGGTAGTAACACATCACATTTTCATATGATAATCGTGCAAAACACCTAGTGATTGAAGTGAAATAAAAATCTGGTAGTCAGTAGTCGAACCTGGTAGCTGAATTGTTAGATCATCGGGCAGGAAACCCGATGGTCACTGGTTCGAATCTGATCGTGGTCCAAATTTTCACTTCATCACCAAGTATAAATGAGTACCTTATAAACCATATCCCAAAAGTATAGAGTTCATTTGATTTGATAATAGACAATAGATTGTGTCCAAAATGTGTTATACATCTAA